CAAGTGGAGTCTATTAAAATAGAAAAAGGTAGGGAGATTCAATATAGTGGGTGACAGAAGTTAATGTAACATTATTAAATATTTGTGGAGTATACGTCTATGCTGCATTGCTAGTCTTTTAATCACAGGAACAATTAAAAACGGACACTGCCAGCCCAACCTTTGCATTAAGTAAGAACGGGCTGGAAAGGAGCGAGCGGCGCCATCATCTCCCTTCTCCATCAGCAGGGTGGAAGGATGCCACGTTCCCTCGGGGCAGTGGCGCTTGCGCAGTGGACATCTAGCATCTGACTTCCGTCTCAGGGTTCACCTTTTAGGTGTTTGCTGCATGATTGTCAGATGTCAGGATTCAGGGTTGGCCTGGGTTCAGGTGGGGTTCTTCTGGTCTGGCCAGAATCTGAGTGTAGTCAAGACTGTGTGTGCGTCATACACAGCAGTCACCATTAGCTCCTAACTTGGGGGTGGGAAGCAGACGTGGGGGTGTCTCATGGGCAAGGCAGATCATGGCAGGCTGGGAGCCTGCCCGTGCTTCAGACCTCGGGCTTGCCCTGCTGCAGAGTGAGGTGCCCGCCTAGTGAAGTGCGGATGAGAGCACTTCGGTTGTTACAAATGGTTCATGTTCATCTTAGCAGGAAATATTTTCAACTTTCAGTAAGTGGGTAAGAATGAACATGGTGGTAAGCGAGCCATGCTTAAACGCAAAATTAACTCACCGTCTTCAGTGGTGTAGCGGGTTTTTTCCTGGGAGAGAAGCGATAGGCTTGGTTAAGCATACAAAGATAAAATTTAATCTCAAATGTACACAAGAGTAACAGAGGTGCCATGTGGGGCGTGTAGGGAGACTGTCCTCGGAGGACGGAGAGGGATGGAAGCAGGATTTGGGCATGATCCTCTTAGCCTCCCACAGAGTCCAGGCACAGATGGCAAAGGGGTTAATTGGGGGATAAACAGGAGTGCCAGTGGCCCGGGAGTTGGCATGACCCAGCTCTTGTTCCAGTTCTGCTGCTAATCTATGACCTCAGGCTTCTTTCTCTCAGCTGCACCACCCGTCTGAGCTTTAGTTTCCTTATCTGAGAAATGAGGACCAGAATCAGTGTTTTCAGAGCTCTTCCACCAAAGGCTCAGGGACAGTGGCCTGGAGTGGAGGGCGGAGAGATGAGGGTGGCCAGAGGGAGGTCGCAGCTGTCACCTTCCCATGCCAGCTTCCACCCTGCTCACAGGGTGCTCACTGTTCTCCCCTAGACAACTGCCGAGGATTTCATTCCAGAATAGAGAAATCCAAGAGCAACTTAAGTTGAAAAACACTGTGACTCGTGTGCCAGAGGGGCTTGTCTGCGCGGACATTCTGGCTTGTCCTAGCTTCATTGGAGGCTGGAGTCTGGTGTGCTGAGAGCGTAGGCCTCTCGTGAGTTTATCTCCTCTGCTTTCTGTGTCCTGCCTCATTTTTGTCTGGGAAGAACACTAACACGTCCCAGTGCCTCTGAGATGTTGGCGCTGGCCCAGGCTTTTTGAGAGATTAAGAAACTGAGGCTCAGATTAAGTAACTTGCTCAAGGTGATAAAGTTGAGTCAAGAGATGTGGACCGTTTTGGTTAATATACCCCTGAAATTAATGATTTCCCAGCTCTACAAGGAGGCAGAATTAAGATTGTAACTCCGCAGGCTAGCTTTTGTCATATTAAAATGCGCTTTAAAATTACCCAAGTTGCTGGATAAATTACAGGCTGACTGAAGTATCAACACTGTCCAAAACCCACCTGTTTACAGACCCCCTTGATGTTCAATACAAGCACGGACTCCCTTACCTGATTTTTGAAAGGAACCTTGGCAGTGTGGCTTTTGAACACCCAGTGTGTGCTGTGCCATTTGTTTATAGATCATCAGTACTAAAAAGAGAATTCAAGGGCCTGAAAGCAAAGCTAAAACCTCTCATGGGTCTCAAAATCACTCGGGTGCTAAAGCCTCTGTCTTGTGGAACACAAGTCCGTCAACTCAAGATTGAACTAAAAATTGCTGGGAGAGAAGATTAATGGCATTTACTTTTAGTAGGGGCACCCCAGTTCTACTTGAAGTGTGCCAGGGAGATGGAGGAGAATAGGGCAGCAGGGGTCATTTCTGCACGCTGTAGAAGCATCCTTATTATAATGTGAGGTGCTACTATTGGACAGGTGGGCATTTCTGGGTGGAAATAGCAGGAAAAAACCACCCTTGCCCTCCAGAGTCTCACTGAGGACTTCTTTGTGGATTTGGGGTACGCCCCATGCACAACAGCAGGGAGACAGTCCCTCCAAATCTCTGAGTTTCTTCTCTGCACAGGTACTCACCCGGCCCTGGGCAGAGGGCACGGCACTGCAGGCGAAGATGGTGACTTGCAGTCCCAGGTCCCACCGCTCCGACCTATACAGACAGACGCATGGGTCAGGCTTCAAGTTTGGACCCTGGGCTGGCAGTCACTGTGAGGCTGGCCTTGTCAGCAGGCTCAGGACCACAAGCACATTGTTTTTGTTACTTTCAGCTAGAATTTACAGGTAGTATGGTGCACTTGGGGAGAGCCTGTAGATGAAGGTGATGAAACAGAAGTAGGATGCAATTGAAGGACCCATCCTGGCATTTCCAAATGAACTTCTTTACCTTCTGGGGCAAATCCACAGGCCCTGATCCTGCGGGCTAAAGAGACCCCACAGGGTTCTATGGGGGAGAGAGAGTTCATTTTTGCTTCTCTGTTTGCTGCACGAATGTGCGCACGGGTGGTGCCCAGAGACAGAGGCACAGCCCCACCGCGCCCGACATGCACCTGTGAGAATGCTCATTCAAAAAGTTTAATACTTACATACGCTGAATTTCACATTTAGAGGACATTTGTTCATTCACCTCTGAGTCCACAGGGCCGTGGCCCATTGCACCCATAGACAGAGACAAGTAGCCAGTTACTGCCCAAACCTCATTTCTGAAGTCATAAAAGGGACCGAGAGGACCTTGCCCACTACACTCAATTTTCCTTCCCCTACTTAAAGATAAAGGTCATCAGAGAGGAGACCGGTGAGCTTCATTGCTAGGGTCGGGAGAAAGGCCAGGGTTCAGTCAGTCCCTCTCAACATCCCTGGCTGCTTCTTCTCGGCAGATGCTCACCTGCATGGACGTCATTGCTCAGTGAGACAAGGCTCTTTATTGAATTACAATGAACTGGATAAATATTTTATTAAGAAACTACTGTGGGCCCTCCCTAGTGGCACAGCAGGTTAGGATGCAGCACTGCTAGCTAGCTGCTGCTGCTTCAGTGTGAGTTCGATCCCCAGCCCTGGAGGTGACCCACATGGTGAGGCAGACTGACCACTCCTGTCTCTCCTGCTGCTCCTCTTAGCACTGTACTTTGTCGATCTGTCTGTTCTGCTCCCACTCTGTCTCTGGTGAATCCTGTGTCTCCTGCACCTCTAGCCTAGGCCCCAGTTCTGTTTGCATGAATAAATAAATCTTAAAAAAATTTTAAAAAGAAACGACTGTATTTATATGTCCACAATTCCTCATAGACTCAAAGGTGATCGTCTATAAATCTAGGTTGGACCTGCCCTCAGTATATATTTTACTTTTTGAGAAAAAACACATAAATAAACACTGAAGAAATAATCAAGAATTATTGGAAAACTCATGTGTGGAGAGCATGGAGGTAAGGGTCATAGGGGAGGTGAGACAGAGCTAGGTCTGTCCTCTCCGAATTTACAGTAAAAGACACCCCATCTCATCTCACAGGGTCGCCCATTCCAAACACAAAAAGAAAAATAGCCTCAAAAAGTATTAAAAACAGAGATTATGGAGCTCATTCTCATGAGCTTTACTAGAGAGGGGGGCTCAAGCTTCCCGCACAGCCCTTCTTCTCCCTATTGTTTTACGTAGGTTTTCATGACCCGAGGGCTGACTCTTGAACATTCCGGAAAGAGAGCAGCAGAGTGAGCTGCATGGACTCCAGGTGGCAGCAAAGGAGTGTCCCTTCTGCTGCGACTCCACGTATCTGCCTAGACATGACTTCTAAAGACATTTCATACAGAGATGACCTTTGCAACGGTCAACATTTCACATGACATTAAAGGGAAGTATCATTGGAATATGTATGAGGCCAACTATATGTCGTTATCTAGTGTAGCAAACAAATATTGTTCAAATTCTCAGTAATCCAGATTGAGACTATTAATAATGCTCTCTGAACTACTCATCGAATTCGGTGGGAGATTTAGAGGAAGCAAAAACAAACTAACACCAAACTAAACAAACCAAACTGACAAATAAGGAAGTAGATAGAAAGGTTTGAGTCAGTTTCCTCCCAGGAGGTTTCCTCTCCTTATATGATGCATTCATCATCCTTATCCCACACTGTCTGGCTTTTCTAAGTCTCCCTTTCCTTCCTACTCCAAATGGTCAACCAATGTCTTCCTTTCTCCTGCACCCCCACAAGTAACTGGCTTTGGAGAAGTGGGAGAGCATGCCAGCTTCCAAGGTGGCATTGGGGTACAGCCCTGGTAGGGACCTGAGGTCCTTTGGTCTTGCACTATGAAGTCAGGGTTCTAGTTATTTCCATCAGAGACTGGCTGGGTGACCTCTTTCAATCCACTGCGCTTTCCCCACTTTGAAAAGAGGATACCACCACCTACCTCACCTAACTCAGAATTATTGTGCTAAACATTAGGGTAACTTAAAAAATGGGGGAAAAAACAGCCAAATACAAAGTAATATTGCCAGGAAGGGAAGAATCTAAGATTCAAAACATTATGCTAAGTGAAAGGCTTCTAGGTGGGACTACATTTTGTATGACTCCATCTGTATGAGATGCCTAGAAAAGCCAAATAAGGCTATGGCCAGGGAAGGCAGGTTGGTGGTTGCTGGAGCTGGGGCAGGAGCTGTGTTGACTACAGATGGGCCTGAGGGATCTTGTAGATTTGAGGTGAGTGAGGAATTTTCTAAAACTGGATGGTAGAGATGTTACGTCACAAATAACATGATTTACAGAACACTGGATTGTGTGTGTAAGAGGTATGAGTTTGTGATGTGTAGATTATAACTCTGAGCATCTCAGTACCTATGAGCATTCTGCTATCCATCTTATCAAGCATCGCGGTATCTCCAGATGCTGGGGACTATGGAAGGCTCCGCAAACATGCCATCACATTTCACCTAACATGAAGTGGAGCAAACGAGAGCTCAGAGAGGTTGAGTGGCAGGACTGAGGCTGAAAGCAAGCACCGAGCCCAGACGGACACTTTACCTCAAAACTGTCCTGTGGGGCATGATTTGGCTGCTCTCCTTTATTTGGGGAAAGATTGTGAAAAAGAGGGAAGCTCTGGAGGATGGCCAGGGAAGGCCAGGGAAAGCCAGAGAATGACTCTTCTGTTTCAGTGACCAGAGACTCCTCTCTGTGCTCAGGGCCTGGAGTCTCTCGGAGAACGTGGCTGGGGGAGGACAATGGAGTCCTTACTTTCTGACAAAATGGAATTCTTGGCTGGGGTGCTCTAAGGGAAAAATAGGAAATGCGGTGTGTCTAAAAGCATAGTGATGAAAGAGAAAAATCAACTTAGTTTTAACTGTATTGAGCAAAACAGTGTGTCAATGTCTAACAGTGCAGGTCTTGCGCAAGCACTTACTGAAGTTTCTCAACTTGGAAAACAATTTTCCCTTCTTGCTTTCTACCATATTCACTTTATGCAGTGCCCTCTTTTTAGCTCCACCTCCAGTGTTAGTAGATTTCCTTATTCTCTTTTACATTTTTAATTAATTAATTAATATTTTACTCTTTGAACTTTGGTTCCATTAGCATTCTCCCCTTCAGGGGTCGCCTCCAAGGGACACCCTCCGCCAAGCCACCCCACGCACATCACTTCCTGTCAACAATCCAAGAGGTTGGTCTTGTAAACCCTTGGAGCTGGGCTCTCTCTGTAGGTTATAGAGGCCTGTTGGTATCAGTGGGGCTTGCACCCTGCTGGAGCACCCTTTACTCCAGCACTTTGTGAACTCTTACAAAGTAAGGAGAATGAATTCAACAATTTCAGAATGACTATTATTTAATGCTTTAAAGTTGTTGTCTGCCAACCCCAAGGAAATGGTCGGGACGCTTGGAGAGACACTTGGGGAAGCGATGCTGGTTGGGGACGGGGACACTGGCAGCTCTTACCTTGGCCTTATGTTAGATTACGCGAGATATTCTGAATCTTGACTCTCTTCGTCTCTCGGACCTGCGTAAGCCCTTTCTGGTGGCCCCACACCAAAATGCACCTTAAACCTGGGGCACACTGTCAAGTCTCAGTGCCCTGTTTAGGCTAAGCCTGTTAGGCTGGGCATTTGCCCATGACGAGACAGGTAATTTTTGGAGTTTGACTGAGAAACTCTTATTTGAGGCCCTTTCATCTCTTTCTCCCTATGCTCACCAACTCCATTAAAAAACTGCACGAAAATGCTTCTGTAGCATTCTGCAGCAGAAAACACATCTAGACTAAAGTTAGGAATAAATGGAATTAAATTCTAAGTAGAAAATTGTATTCTCTCTTCAGGACTGTTCACTCCCTAAATTGCATCCCCGCCCAGATTAACTGTTGACTCACCACATTGCAAACCCTGTTCTGTCCCTAGCTGGCTTCCCATTCCGGGAACTTGGGAGAAGGACAGTGCTAATTAGAAGTCTCTAGCACTCCTGCTATTCCGCGAGGAAAGCTGGTTGTTTTGGGACGCCATCTTCCTTGATGGCAATCTTGAATAAAACTCCTTCATGTAAAGATTTTTCTCGATTCAGAGTTTGGCTTTCTGGATGTGAACAAAAGACCCCACTTGGTCATTTACATCCCCTTTGCTTTTGTGCACGTAGGTGGCCAAGCCCCCTTTTAGAGCATGTACTCCTGCACCCCTTAACAGTTTGGGGTTCCAGGTCACGTGCTAATACCTTTAACAAAGATACCACCAGAGAGCAAATGAGAATAAGATCTTCTGTGACCAAACTAATTTTGAAATACAAGTGCTTATTTCTTAATATTTGATGAATTATTTATCATATTTGGAATAAGGTAAAAAACCGGACCCCCAAATGTATTATTTCACAATAAGAACATTCCAAACACAACATACTTTACCTAAAGCTGTCCTTGGTGGAGAGGCTGGCTTTGAGGAGTTATTTGGCTTAGTTGATCTGTTTACCATGGGAGCTGTTAAGAACAGAAAACACAGGCCTGAGATTAAGTTACTCAGGCCAGTCCCTCTCCCAGATTTAACAGCTAAAGCTATTTCAGTTTCAACTTGTCTCTCAGAAGTATGATCCTAAATCAATATGGAGTCTCCAGATTGACGGACTGCCTGCCTGACCCTGCAGGGAGTGGTTTCACTTGAACTAATCTTTCCTTTTGCTGATAACCTGGCCCCACCCTCTTTCCTCTATAAACAGCCTCCATTTTGTGTCTAGATGAGATTCATGAATCACTGAAAAAAACCAATGATATCTCTAAATTTGGGGATTTTGTTTATTAACAGCATACACACACACACACACACACACATGAGATTCACACATAGGGAGAAATGCATGTGGAAATGATCAGAGAATTTGCAAAAAATGGGAGACACTCAGACACACAAGCCTTTCTCAGGAGAAACATCTTTAGATGAATATTGTTAAAGAAACAAGTCCAATATAGAGTCGTTCATACTGGACCCCACGAAGACTCAATCACTAAAATAATTCGAGTCGTAATTGGAGTCAGCCCCTCCCAAAGTGGAATTCTAAGCCAATTTTTCTGGAGTTTATGGTCAGCACCAGTGAGGTAATTTGCATCATAAGGCCTTCGCTTCCCCTGAAGGAATATGGTTTGTTGAAATAATCTTTTCTTTTGCTAATCATCTTGTCCTGCCCCCTTTTTGGTTATAAAAACATCTGCCTTTCTCTTTGCTTGATAGGATGCTGTCCTACTCATAAAGTCAACTCAATTTATACATTTATTCTGATGAATTTTAACAATCTAGTAAAAAGTAAAGAAACAATTGAATTATTTAATGACAGGGATTTTGTTAAAATGAATACTGGCTTGGAATTTCATTTGCAAAATTGGAGGTGGAGTTTAAAGTTTTTTGGGTTTTGTTTTAAATCAGGAGACTTGGGCCTCCCTGGTGGCACAAGGGGTTACGTCTCAGCACTATTAAGCTGTCCACAGCCACTGCAGCACCAGTTCCATCCCCTCAACACCCCATCAGGGAGGTGACCCACATGTGCGGCAGACCTCTCCTGTCTCACCTGCTGCTCCCCTCAGCAGTGCATTTCAGTGGATCCACCTGTTCCTCTCCCCACCCTGTCTCTGGTGAATCCTCTCACCCCTTGGACCTCTGACCTAAGCCTCAGCTCTTGTATGTATAAATAAATACATCTTTAAAAAAAAAATCCAGAGACTTGTATGGTGCCTAACAATGGACCCACCCTCCCGGCCACACCCTATATACACTTTCATTCCTCTTACACTTTGGGCTTTGTCCCTGGTGGTGGAGGTGGGGTATTGATGAGAATTGATTGTTTCCCGGGGGTGGGTGGCTCAGGAATTCAGGTGTGTCTGGAAGCTATTTGTGATATTTAGAGAGCTCAGGAGAGGGTGGCAAGGAAAAAACTGAGCACTGCTACTTTGGAGTTGAGATTATTAGGAAAGTAATGTTAGTTGAAGAGGAGTCTTCATACAGGATTATATTCTCCGCTGTGACTATCTCCAGAGTAAACCTACACCAGTCTTCTCATGAGCCTGAGAATTACAAAGAAATCTGTTTTTAATCCTGGTGCAGTGTTAGTGTTTCTAAGATGAATATGGCGGCTTTGACTTGGTGCGCATTTGGTTTCATGAGAAATCTATTCTAAGTGAGGACGCCAAAGAACCAAGCTGCTTTCCTAATGTGAGATGAAGTCATTACATCATGCAGATTATGGAGGGAAGCGGCAAAGACAGGCTGTGGAACGAGGCTGGCCACTCACTGATGACCCCGCTTGACCCCCAAAACACACCAATGTTGTGGCTAGCCTCGGGAGCCCCCCTCTACCTCTAGGGGCTTTCTGGTGCTTACAACTGCAAACTCTTGCCTTTTGCCGGTGGGAGTGAAGTGCTTTCTGTGGGGTGAATATAGTTTTCATCTTCAGCTTCCACAGGGATAACGTAGTCAGCCTAATGCAGAAATGAATGAAGATGATGCTAGACATTAATAGTTCACTCTATGGATTTAAAATAATGTTGACTGAGATAAATGCACTTACCATTAAATTGACCTATGCATTGTAGAAGATGATGGCTTTAGTATATTAATAGTTTTGAAACCATGACCACGATCTAAATAGATTTTCATCACCCCAAAAAAGCAGCCAACACCCCATTAGTCACTTCCCATCCATGTTCTCCTCTGATCTTGTCAACCACGTATCTATTTCTGTCTCTAAGATTTGCCCGCTCAGGCCCTCGTGCATTCGGGATCATACGACACGTAGGTTTTTGTGACTTTTTCCACTTGGTATAATGATGGCAAGTTTTGACCATGTGGTTGTATGTACATTCACTTCATTTCTTTTGATGACCAGTAATACTGTATTGTGTGAATACAGTCACGCATTGCTTCCCAGCAGAGGGGAGACGGGTGAGAGCAATCCAGAGCTGGGCCCCAGACAGCCTACACAGGGGTCCCTGAGACTAGTGTAACATGTGTAACGCTCAAGAGCCGCCAAAGAAGAGTGAGGGTCTGGGTCACTCTGCAGGTTAAGCAGGCCCCCCCGGGGCCAGAGCTCCCATTATCTGTCCCCCCTCTATATCAGCCGAGGAAAGGGAAGCAGAGAAAGGAGAAGGCAGAGAGAAGAGAGTGAGGCAGGACAGGCAGGCAGGCGAAGAGGGGAAGGACAGGGAAAGGCCTTGGGAAGGAGGGAGAAGAGTCACAGGAAACCATGGGAGGGAAAAGGGGCCACGAAGGGCACAGGGCCAGCAGTGCCATGCCTTGGGCCTTTAGCAAGTGAGAAGACTTCAAGTAAGACCGCAGGGGCCATTTTAAGAGAAACAGCAGCATTCAGCACAGCGGTGGGGAGCTCTGGGAGGCAGGCTGGGCCCGGTGGCTAGTGCTGGCCAGGCGCAGGGCCCGGGAGAAGGAGCTGCGTCGGTGGTCCTGAGCCTGCCCCCTGCCTCCTCCTTGGTCTGGGACGCTTTGGGACCGGTTTACATTACCTCATCCTCCAGGAGTTCTTTGGGTTTGGGTGGAACTTGAGGTTTCTGCAGAGAAGTCAGGGCTGGCAGAGTGGAGGCCAGTCTTGCCTTTTCGGAAGGCCAGCTGGGCTTACTGGGGAGGGTCTTGCTGAAGGGTGGAGACTGCCTCTGGCTTGACCGATTGTCTTGAAAGGAACAACAAGGAGCGTAAGACAAAGGGTGGAGGCCACCATGATTTAGAAAGTATAAGAAACAGCGCTTATATCGTCATTAATCAGGGCGTTCCTTAAAGGAGGACAGTTACATTAAGTGAAGTGTGTCACTGTCCACTGACTTACATTATAAAGACCAGAAGAATATCCTCCCGGGGCAGTGATGGAGGCCCGTGGACTCGGGGCGCAGGTACCCTGGGCAGGGGTGGGGGTGCTCCCCGATGATGCACACTGCTCTGAGAAACCTTAGGGCATGGGCTTCATCCTGCTTATACACAAGAACTACCTGGGGGCCTTTAAACTTGCAAGTCCACTCCAGACCTAGCAGTTTCACCGTCTAGGGAGGGGCCTGGTATTGGAGGCTTTAAAGGTTTCCCAGGTTATTCTAAGGGCTGCTACTCATTTACATCAGCCTACACATTGCTCCCTCAGTGGTTTTCCCAAATTACAGAGAATCCGGGAGTGCCCTGTCCAGGGCTGACCTCAGTAGGGGTCAGAGGGGTCCAGGCTCTGAAAGCCCACGGCTGAGTTCTGTCCTCCCACCTGCATTCACAAGCTGCTCTCCTGTGGGCCAGCGGCTTGTCATTGAGCCTCTCTGAGACTCACACTCTCAGTCAAACACAGGAGGTTTATAATAGTCCCTTGAGATGGTGGCAGGGTTAGAAGGAGCACAGGGAAAGCAGGGGATCACGTGCTGGCAGGGTCGGTGCCTCATCTGTGGAACTAAGCTGACCCAGGTCACATGCTGGAGGGCCGAGCCTCACGGAGCTCACACAGCTTGGCCTGCACCGTGGACTGATACACAGCAAGAAAACCTCAGCATAGTGCAGCCAGCACCACCCCAGCTCAGAACAGCCTGGGCACTGGCACTGACACTGGCCTCAGCCACAGACATGGGCACCACGGGACTCCTGCTGTTTCCTCCTGCCACGGCCCAGCCGGGCGGAGGCAGCTGCTCCTGCCGGTCAAGCCCCCAGCCCAGCTCCTGTCCTCAGCCAGCACTGTGCCTTGTGGACGGTGCATGCTTAACTTCACGTCGCGGCCCTGGGGAGCCTCTTTCTGGGTGGTGCACCCGTGCCCAGGCACCAGAGCATGCGGCGTGTGCCTACGCGTTGACAGATTTTGTGGTTTTATTCGTATGTAGCTCTTGGAGTTTGCTGAGGTTTCTGCAGGTAATAGTTAAGACCCTCAGAAGTAGCAAACACAGAAGACAGGCTTTGAAGAGGGTGCTTTTCAATGAGTCCCTTAACCACCCTGTGGTTTCCTGGTCTGTGAAATGGGTCTAAGAGCCTCTTCCTCACCAGCGCTGTTGCGCCTGAACAAGGTCACTACCAAATAAGGTGGTGGTGTGGGCAGCAGAGTGGGCTTGGGAGGCTGAGTGGCCTAGTTCCTGTCCAGCGCTGCCTCTGAGTCTCACTGTCTTCCTTGGTAAAGCTATGGACACCTTAGTCATAAGATTATCAAGAGAGTGATGTAGGTCACAACGGTAACTGTAAAGACTTTAGCAGTTTGTCTTGCTGCCGGAGGCTTAGTGCTTCGCATGACTGGTGGGTAGTAGGCGCTCAGCAGATCAGCTCTGCAGTGAGGCAAGGGGCAGGGCGTGGTGCCCATAAGGAGGCAGCTGAGGGCATGTTGATGGTCCTGGGCCTGGGCTTCAGGGTGCTCTGTACCGAGTTCTCTGTGATGGCCACAGACCCCTTTCCCGCCTCTCTTAAGACTGGAACACAGACTTCTTGAGGGACACTGAGAGCGACGTTTGGGCCCGGAGACCCAAGCTGAGCTGTGTCACGTTTACCCAGGAGGCTAATTCTAGACTTTGAGCGCCGCACCCGGGCCCACACGGTTCTAAGGCCACAGCCAGGACCCAGCGTGTCAGCAGCCATCAGGACTTGTGCGTGGAGGAAGGAGGGGTCTTAGCAGGCAGGTGGCCCTCGTTGTGTGCACATGTCTCAAGGGAAATAGCAGAAGGTTGTGCCCAAGAATCCCAAGAGAAGCAGGGACAAACCTCCGCTTCTTTGACTTCTCATGGAATCACTGGGAATCCGGATGGGGACAATACCGGAGGGGTTTTGCCTGTTTTCAACTCTCCCCATCTAAGAAGGATCCCCCCCATGCACCCCCACAAGTAGGTGAAACTCCCTGCTGGGTTTCAGGGCCCATGAGCCCTGGGGGCCAGCTTGGAGGTGCTGGGTGGGGTCAGGTTTGGCCACCACCCTGCACCTTGGCCGACCCTCCTGCTGCCCCATGCACGTGGCGCCCAGGGCCTGGGCAAAGGCTCACCTACGTATTCGCCCCTGGCGAAGGGCAGGGCTGGGTGAACCGCCCTGGTCTCCTGCTCGACGGGCGGCGGCTCGTAGCTGTCGTCCCCGGTCTCCTCGGCCGGCAGCACGTACATCTCGGAGTCAGAGTGCTCGTCTGGGTTTTCGTAATCGCTGTCCTGCAAGGGCGGACGTCATGCTCAGGGCCTGACGGGCCTGAGGCAGCTCCTGACTTAGGGGGCCTGGCTGCTCCTCCAGTGCAGGGGGGAAGGAAGGCCGGGAGGGGCTGACAACCGGGGGGAGGAGGGGGAGGCAGCACAGGGGGTAAAGTTGGAAGGCAAATTTTTCTGCCCCCTGGGCTTATCACTCAACCACTGCTTATCACCCAGACCACCGCCCTGGGCGGGGAGCTTGTGAGCCAGGTAAGCTGAAGGGTGTCAGAGATTGTATGTCAGCAAAGAAATATAATAGGAGTAGAAATAAAACAGGAGTAAGCACAGCACCGTAAGCTATTCACAGACACTGCAGCAGGAGTTCCATCCCCGCCAGGGAGCTGACCCACATGGCGCAGCAGACCTCTCCTGACCCGCCCGCTACTCCCCTCATCTGTGTATGCTAGCCAATCTGCCCGTTCTGCTCCTTACTCTGTCTCTGGTGAACGCTCTTACACACACCCGCCTCCTCACACCTCAGGCCTGTACCCCAGTTCTTGTATGCAAAAAATAACAAAATCTCAAAAAAGAAAGAAAAAGAGCCCAACAAAAGTTGAATAACCAACAGGTTGTCTTGGATGCTGGCAGCACAGGAAGGCGGGGTGGGAAAGGCCTTCCCGAGAGGAGGCGTCGAGGCCACGCCTGGAGGACGAGCCACAGCCAGCCAGGTGAGGAGGAATGGAGCACTCTGTTTTTCTCTTTTCAGCAGACATTGGCCTGTTGCAGGAACACAGGGCAGGCCTGGCGCCGGGGCTGTGATGAAAAGATCCCACTGAGGGGGCTAAAAATAAGTCTGGACAGGCCCACAGGCAGGGCGTCATCAGTCCTGGCGGCTCTAACAAGAAGCCCGCCCTTTTTTTTTTTTTTAAGATTTATTTATGTATGCACACAGAACTGGGGTACAGGCCAGAGGTGCAGGGGTGGTGAGAGGATTCACCAGAGGCAGAGTGGGGAGCAGAACAGGAAGACTGATGACATACACTGCTGAGGGGAGCAGTGGACGGCCCAGGAGAGATCTGCTGGGCCACATGGGTCACCTCCCTGACCTGGAATCGAACTTGTGCCAAAGCAGCTGCCACTAACTTCATAGTGCTAAACTTTAACCTGTTGCACCACCAGGGAGGACTCAGAAGCCCCCACTTTATTTCATGCAGTGGGGATCCAATAAGGTAAAAATAATTGTTTACTCAATTCTCATTACAGCTGGTAATTTGATTTTGGTTGTTCGACTTTGGGCACGGTCCTTCCCAGCTCTCTAGGCTGATTTTATGTTGTGTTATCTGAGTCCCAACGAGGCGCCCGTTCTACCAACTGAGCCACGGCACTGGGTTGCTTGGCTCCCCTGGATGGGGGCCAGTCTCTCTGCTTTGGTCAGATGTGGCTTCCCGTGTGCAGCCAGCAGGGGTCGCAGCTGCTGTGTGGCTGAGGGGTAGTGATCAGGGTCTTGGAGAGAGCTCTGTGCCAAGTGACCCACAGAGAGGCCATCTCTGTAAAGAGAGACCTTCTTGTAAATCACCTTTCCTCTGCACTTGAGAAGGGAGGAACTTCTGCCTCCCAGCACTCTAAATAGGTGGTGTATACATGGCACACCTGGGCTCAGGCTGTGAGTGGGGCTTGGTCCTCACTCTGCAGTAAGTAACTGCGTGGTGCTGAGTAGCTCCTTTTCAGCCTTATTCTCTCGGGTTCCTAACATGTATGTCACAAGGAAGATGTGGTTCTCTGGAGGACTTGTTGGGTGACCGACAGGAGCAGCCTTACATTCTGCATGAATCTGATGTAAATGAAAGATAATTATTGTGAAATGAAGTTTTAGAATGTTTTGTCCCTAGAAGACTCAGCCCCAACGAGAAGTGACTCTTGGGCCCCGTGGGTTGTGGCACCTGCTCAAAGAGGGACAGTGAATTCTGACACAGCACCCCAATGTCACGATGGCCAGCCCCCTCTCTCTCACTCTGTCACAGCAAGCACCTTGGATTTAAAAGCCGGGTTCTGAGACTCTGATGAGCTGGGTTTGAATTTAGGAATTGCAAGTAACTGAAACTCTCCCTGCCGGTCCTGTAAATGAGCAGGGCTGTACTCACGGTGCATAACCAGTAACGCTGCCCAGGTACTTCCTGGCCCTGAAGAGTCCCAAAGTCTCCCACTGTGCCAGCCATTTGGTCTGCATTTGTGTGTTTAGGGCTCCTGGCCAGCTGGGACTCTGGGGCTCCCAGGGCCCTGACCGACGGCTTACAGCCCTTTCCAAGCGTGGTGAGTACTCTGGATACCAGAGTACTCACTGACACATGTGCTGCTCACAGGGGTGTGGCGAGCCTTCCACGAGACCATGCCCACGAAGCTCGTCAAGGACCACAGTATGACAGTAACCGCAGCCATTACGAGGTCACCCCACCTTCTCTGCTGTGTCCTTCCTGCCCAGTCATCTCCCTGCTGTGTGTGCGGCTGAGCTCCAGCGCGTCACTCAGAAACAAGCCCTCCCACCGCCCTGGTGAAGCCAACACTCACAAAGTCATCTGACCACTGCTCCTCCTCGTCGGCAGGGTTCTCTGAAACGACAAGTGGGAAGCAGATGAGTGTGCAGGTCTCCGAGAGCGAGTCTCACCCACCCGCGACCTGCATGGGCCCACTGACTTGGCCTTGATGGTGATTACAGTCGTCTATGCTCATCCACTCTGGACTCCTCTTTCTTCCTTAAAGAATCAGTTCTTAAGTATCACTAGAGGTCCCAGTGGGGCAGAGAAATGGTGCTCTGACTACACCTGGCTTTGTCAAGGGACATTCTTGGGGCCTTTAAGTAACTTACCATTAGGACCTGTAGCTCATAGTGTGTGGCTTCTAGGGATGCCTTTCTTTTATTATTGTTAACAAATTAGTATTGCTCTCTTTTTTAAGCTTTATTATTTATGCATACAAGAGCTGGGGTGTAGGCAGAAGGTGTGGAAGGAGGGGGTGAGGGGACTCACCAGAGACAGAGTGGGGAGCAGAAAGGGCAGTTCCACTGAAATACACTGCTGAGGGGAGCAGCAGGGAGACAGGAGAGGTCGGCTGTGCCCTGTGGGTCAGCTCCCTGGCTGGGGATAGAACTCGTGCTGCAGTGTCTGCAGACAGCTTCATACTGCTGAGACTTTACCCCTTGTGCCAGCAGGGAGGCCTCTTCTAGGGATTTCTTTGAAGTAATATGTGGATAGTGAGTTGGCAGAACACGGAGCAGGGAGCAGACAGGCTCTATTCCCAAGTAGTTGGACAGTGGGCGAGATGCCTAAGATCTTGGAGCCTCAGTTCCAGATCTACAAAATGAGGGAATATCTTCTTTGATCCTCTCTGGTTTTAACTTAGACTTTTTTATTAAAAAAAAAAAAAAGCCAATTTTGTGCTCCATGGTAGACAATATTCTCAGAGCTTTGTACTCATTTAGCTCTGTCAAAAACCTTGTGAGGAAACTGAGGCCTGGAAGAAATCAGACTTTTGCTCCAGGCCAGACAGTCCATGGTAGAGCCAGGAGCGGGACCTCCAGGCCGACTTCCTAGCTGGGCTCTGAATCCTACGTTGTGCTGCCTCTCTGTCTGTGCGCTCCAGGCTGCAGACATTGTCCTTGGCACACAGGGGCACAAAAGTGGATTTGACAGGTCTCAACTCCTGAACGACTAGAGACTCTGAAAAACAAAGTTGGCCTGAACTGTGAGAGTCAGGGAGAACACTTGACCATTTTCCTCCAAAACACTTTTGAGTACACTAAACATGTCCCATCACATGCATGAAGGCTAAAAACAGGTCACTCTGCTCTGTGGGAGATCAGCCAGACTTAGGCCTAGATGGCAGCGTTGCTCCCATGAATTTAACCGAGAGCCCGCCTCCTCTCCCACCCACTGAGCAGTTGCTGCTGGCGGGCATGGGGCTGCCCCCTGATCCCCAGAAGCTTTTCTTGTTACTTCTGTCCCCTGCCACAGCAGATCACAGACTCCATCTCTGTAGTCCACAGAGACCAAGACAAATTGTGCAGGGGAAATGGGGGCAGGAAGGAAGTCTCTGGGTCTCATTTTAAGGGGTGGCCACATTTTAAGCAATGGCAGCAGCAGCACCCTGTAGGGAAAAACATGATTGGCTGTAGAAGGAGCCTCATTTTTTAAAGTCAAATATGGGTCAAACTGACATCAACAGTATTTTTTTTTTCAAACTGAAGTGTATTTGACATAAAACATGGAAACTTAAGGTGTATACCCTGTTAATTTAGTGCATTCATATAGTCACACGGTTGCCATGGCAGCAATACTCATCACCTCCATCACATAACGTGATGACCATTTCTTTTTAGTGGTTGGCATATTTGGGTCTTGTCTTTTAACAAGTTGGATGATAGAAAACAATATTATAGAAAGTCATTCTCATTATGTTATCCTTCGGGCTGTCTTGTACTGAGTTATAGTATATCGCCATCAGAGTGTGCCAAGAAACTCTCGAAGAGCTGGTTCCCATCATGGCCACTTCTCTGAGCCAGTGCAGGGGGGATTGAGTTTCTGATAGCTTAAATTTGGGAACAAATGGAAATTGAAATTTAAGATTTTTTGGTTGCAGTCATTAAAAATAAGAACCTTTGACCCTCCCTGATGGCGCAGCAGGTTAAAGCACAGCACTGAGAATCTAAAGCCACTTCCACATGAGTTCGATCCCTGCCTGCCCCGGAGGTGACCACATGGCGCTGCAGACCTCTCCTGACTGCCTGCTGCTCCCCTCAGCAGTGTACTTTGTCAGTTGTCCTGTTCTGCTCCCCACTCTGTCTCTGGTGAAGCCTCTCACTGCCCCTGCGCCTCTGGCCTGCACCCCAGTTCTGTATGCACAAATAAATAAATCTTAAAAAAAAAAAAGCCAAGAACCTTTTTACAGTTCCTTGTAGAACATACAGCCCTGCCTCGGCCAGCCGCATTTGCTGGGCCCTTCCTGTGTGAGCCAACGTCCACTTTATGACCAGTTACTAGTGGACATTGTTGCTGCAGCCATCTGAAGAGTTTTCCTGCTTCTATCATCTTTCCTCTCCAACATGCCCCTCCCACAGCTTCTAGTTATTGTCCTAAAAGAGGTCGGAGTCAGAGGGCTGCCTGTGGAGTCTCCACAAGGTTCTGTGTCAACACCTCCCACGGCAGCCAGCAACCTGGCAGCCCTCCTCCGTCATGGTGACACCCAGTGGCTTGTTTCTACCCTTTGCTTCTGAGCACTCTCTGCCCTGCTCTTGCTCTGCCCTCCACCTCCCTTTTCTCACGGAAATCCCTGTCTTCCCTCCTCCATAAACTCTTCCCCAGACACAGCCCATCACTCCTTCCTCTGGGCCCTTTTAGATGCAGCTAGCACATCAATGTCACATGTATTTCATTCTCCCCTGTGCTGTGATGAAGTTGTTCGGGTCTGTCTGTACTGGGTGGTCTTTTGTATTTGTACTCCATGCACTAATAAATATAATTAATGATATCTAATAATATAAATTTTATATATTACTAACCTTGTCATAACATACACTAATACGTATTAGTATAATGTTACATTATTATATCATTTCATAAGTTATTAAAATTAATATAATAATGAGAAAAATAACAATGTGAGCCAATAAATGAGTTGAGTGAATGAAAACTAGGACAATAATAATTAAGTATTGAACATTTCCTAAGTGATGGGGGCTGGGCTGTGTTATAAATGGATTTCTTCATTTATCCTCAAGCAGTGCTAAGAGGCAGGGGCTATTACTGTCTTTGTTTCATAGTTGAGGCAATCAGGGCTTCCTCAGAGGGGCTGGAAAACCTGACTGAGGCCATGATGGTCGGTGTGGGGCTGGCTGGGAGGTCAGGCTCTCCGTGTTGGCTCCTGCAGCTGAAATCACATGTGAATTTGGCCTGGCTGGAGACCTGACCCTCCACTGAGCCTTCAAATAAAATCTAGAGGAGACAAAGTTGACCCAGTGCAGGTATTGTGGGGCATTGGGGAGAAAACAGACAAAAGCTTGAAGCGGTAGAGGTTATTGGATGGTTCGCCACCCACCCAGCTGCTCCCAGACCCGGCCCCACAGGCGACTGGCTCACAGCATCACACTTCCCAGGTCAGAGCCTTGCAGGTCCTCACTCAGGCGGAGTTGTGAGTGCTCTCCTGCATTTCAGGGGGCCCTCCCAAAGTATGTGGGTGGTATTTTTAGAACCATGTTCCCTGGGTGCAAATCCCAACTTTCCTCTTTACTGTGTGCTTGGCAAAGGGCCAGTACTTTCATTGTTTATAGCTCAATTTCTTTGCTGTAAAACAAGGCTAAGCATAGTCCTGCTTTATGTCTTTTGAGAATCAAGTTATTTAGTACATGTGAGCACGTGGCACAGCCTGCTTCACCGACGTTGGTGTTACTTGTGGGTTTTAATTAACCCTCAAAACAATGCCAAGTGTTTCGCTTAGCAGCATCCACACACTTTGGCCACATCAGAGAAATGGACGTACGAGTGAACAGCTCAGGTGGGTTATGTTCTGATTTAACTTGGGTCAGCTGGTTTAGTTTTGGGTGTGGGGTGGCATGCTCTCCTTTCCCCCACCCCCTCCACCCCCCTCTAAGCAGCTGAGGTGCTGGCTGAGCTTCTGGTCAGGGAAAGCCTTTGCTGTGGTGTCATGTACCTGCTTTGGGATTTATGCTCCATTTACTGTGTCCTAATCCTGTGCCACACAATAGAGTTCCTGTCCCGGCTGCCACACTGTGTGGGGCACGTCTGTGGGCACAGCACCTGGCATGAGACACGTGAGAATGGCCATGATGGCTCCATCTCAACGTCCAGCTCCCAACCAGGACATGCAGAATTTTGAGGCTGGGCTGTGGGGTCAAGCTGTCTTCCCCCCAACCCCAATTCTGCCATTGGCCAGCAAAGCAATAGTAGGCAAATTGTTTAATTCTGGACCTGTCATTCATGCAATGGCCCATTCATGCCAAGATCACAGATATTGAGAGAATGAAAATGAAGCAACACACGGAGAGCGCTCAGGTGAATGTGGGTGTAGATGGGGCGCCATGAATGAGAGATCGCTATTAATTTACTTCCTCTGATTCTCAGGGTAATCTGAAGGATAGGCTTTATCTCCAGAACAAATATGAGACACAGGGGTGTTATAACACTTTTCTAAGTCCACAGGGTGTTTATGCGGCAATACTAGGATTCCAGCTGAGACCAGAAGGACCCAGAAGGCTCGGATCTTCTCATGAAGCCCCCAGTCAGGGAAGTAAAGGACTTTGAATATGGGCCAACACCCTTGCGGGTGTGTTAGACTGAGGACCATTCAGGTCCCTGCCCTGCACCTGGTAGGAAAGGTAGGAAGGTAGGAAAGGAGGGCGGAGAGGCTGCAGGAGGCTGTTTGTGAAGGTGGAACTGAAGTGGGCCTGGAAGTCTTGGCAAGGGAATAGGGCACCCTCTTTCATCCACCAAGACAGGCTCGTGGGCCAGCCCCTGAGCAGAGCTGAGCTGATGTTGGACCCGGGGCGTGGTACAGAGCACAAGTGCACAGAGCGCAGAGCTGCCCTGGAGGCTCACAGGAGAAATTGCCAAAGCCAGCTTGGGTGCCAGCAGGGGGCTCTAGTCATGGTGACACTGTGCTTCTGAGGCCCGTGGAGACGGGGAGACCGACAGGGACGCTGTTTGAGAACACAGGCATGAAGAGACAAAGGCTGAGCCAGGCTGGGCATCTTGGGAGAGGACAGGAATGTCTGTAAGGACAGTAAAGGTCTCCGTGTGGAGAACTTGAGCAAGGGGCTCCGGATCTCTGGGTTCCAGATCATCGACAGAGGCTGCTGGTATCTCAGCCTCGGGCATTTGGGGTGCAGCGTGTCTGGCACACAGCTTCACTGAGCTTCCCGGCCCGCCCTGGTGTGTGCTCTGGGCTGCTAGATCCTGCCTGGCTTCTCCTTACAGCGCTGGTGTTGGGACCCAGTGGGAAGACTGCAGTGACACAGGATGGAAAACGGAAGGAAGCTGGGCCCGTGCGGTGGTGAGATCAGACACAGGAAGGACTGGGAAGATAATTGCAGAGGCTGCAGGCGAGGCAGAAGAGCTCAGCACCCCGAAACTCCTTTCAAGGGATGTGGTTTAGTGGAGGGGAATTGGGCCAAGGCCAGAAGCCAGACTGGCTGGGAGAGGTGATTTGCATCTAAATATTGAACATCTTAGAAATTCTTCTGTCTGCATGTTTACTCATCCCTTCCCAAGGCTCTGTCAATCGGGGCTGAGTTTTCAGCAGTCGGAGACATGGTCCTGGCTCAGTCACCACCTGGCTGTAGTCACTGTGCCTCTCTGATCTCCAGTTATCCCTAAAATAAAAGCTTGCGTTGGGTGAGCTCTTAGTACTTTCTAAGCTTTGAAATATCTTCGAGTCCTGTTTCCATTCCTCTTTAGTTCTATGAGGCAGGGGACAGTTCTTTCCAAGTCAGTTTTCCTGGTATCACTAGTTTGAAGGTAATCTGGGAGACAGAAGACCAGAGACACCGGGCAGGGTTACACAAGTAGTGTCATGTTTCACTTCTTTGTAGACAAAGGGCAGTGCCCACACCCGGTGCTTCAGCAGGGCCTTTATCCCAGAACCCCTGACTCAGAACCTTCCTTTGTCCTGAGGAAAAATCCTATACTCACGTCCCTCCTCCTTCCAATTGCTCTAAGCGCTTCCCTACAGGGGGTGGGAGAAGTGAAGCCTCCTGAGTTCATCCAAGACCTCTGGATGTTGGGGCCCAGGGCACAAGGAGAGAGGGCTTATCCAGTTCCAGCTTCCCCAGGGCAGTGACCAGTGGAAATTCTGTGATGGCCTCTGCAGACCCAGAGGACACGGAATCTGCTCCTCTTCCTCCAGCTCCCAAGCCCGCCCTCGGGCTTCTAAGATACAGGAAATGGTGCAACTATGAAAATGCAGGTCTGGAGTTCAACTCAGAGGCTGATAACTGGGACCTCCAGAATTTTAAGAAATGCTGCATGAGAGCTTGAACCCCTCAGCTGGAGTCAAAGGGAGAGAGGAGTGGGCACTGAAGGTGGGCTTGCCTTCCTAAGCTTTGGCAGGTTACTTCGTTGTTCATAGATTCATTTTCCTCATCATTTCTAAAAATGGTACGAAGGCCAGTTGAAGCAGTTAATGTCTGACGAGACTTCAGCACTGTAGAGCAGAGGAGTCGCCAGCATGCCTGGTGTTTTCCTCCCAAAGCACTGCCAGCTGCGTGCAGGTGCCGTGCTCTGCTGAGTGCACCCCCAGGAAGGTCCCTGTGGACACTGGTCCCCCTCAGAGACAAAGCAGCATTTCTGGTCTGAATTGAGAGCAGCTGTCTCCACAAGGGCCTGGTCTGTAGGAACCCAGACCTCCCTCTTTGCGTAATTCAACACAACTAGGAGAGGAGGTCATTCTAAAAATTAGGATGGGTGCCTTTTGTGTGTAAGTGAGTAGAATGTGTTCCTTTCCCATAGGTTCAATATCATCAGCTGAGTATTTTGAAATATTCTTACCTGAGGCATAGTCCCTTTGAGGAACACTTGGGGGTGCTTTGACTTTCAGCCTGTGGAGAATAACATTAGGCAAATGGTCAGTGAGAAGAAAAAATGCTATCAAGATCCATAGTAAGAGCAGGTGTAGAGATAACATGTAGACAATGAATGGCTTCTTGTAGGCCTGACACGGAAAGACTTCATCTAGTAAATGGAGTGAAGCCCACCTCTTCCCTCTTCCCTGTGAGTAGAGTGACTGTGACCTGGGCACAGGCAGTGAAAACCTCCACAAGGAGGAAGCACCAAGTTCAGAGCTCCAAGAAAGAGAACTGGTTGACAGAAAGATAAGAGAGATGAACTCTTTTTTAATGAATTATTCAATGGATGCCTTAGCAGCTGGTGGGGAAAATGGGCTATAATGAGAACTGAAATTATTTTTGCAACATTAAAGAAATGCTGAATAAGTGATGGCTCCAGATTGAGAATTTTATTATTTAGCTTATGTAGAAACTGAACTGTTTCAAGCACTCTCAAAACTACCTTGGAATCTTTATGTACATAAAACATGTGGTGGGCCCTCCCTGGTGGCGCAAGGGGTTAAAGCACAGCCCTGTAGCATGAGTCTGATCCCCACACCTCTGGCCTGTACCCCAGTTCTGTATGCATAAATCAATAAATCTTTTTTAAAAATTAAAAAATATAACACATGCTAAATATTTGTAATCTCTCCCCACTCATTCATCAAAGAAATATAAAATTATGTTTTAAACATATATCCCACTTTAGATGGAAAAATGCACAAAATGATATAAAAATAAACTATTATATATATATAGGTAGATAGATATGCCCCACTTTTTAGCTTTTTATAAGTTGACAATACCTCCCTACCCATTATTTAAAATGGATAATGTTTATAGTAAATTATCTTCACAATAGTCATTCATTTTTCTTAAGAATGATTTGCTTTAACATTTTAAAAAATATATCTATATTGGCCCTCCCTGGTGGTGCAGCGGGTTAAAGCACAACACTAGGAAGCTAAAGCCACTTCCACATGAGTTCGATCCCCACCTGCCCCGGAGGAGTCCACATGGCGCGTCAGGCCTCTCCTGACCCACCCGCTGCTCCCCTCAGCAGTGTACTTC